ATTATCATACCTGTAATAACTACATCCAACATTATTATACCTGTAATTATTACATCCAGCAAAATCATATCTGTCTCTATTACCTTTATCATACCGGTCATTATCACATTCAAAACTATGATACCTGTCACTATCACAAACAACATTATCATGTATGTCATTATCCCATACCTCATTATCAGCCTTGTCTTAATTAGTTCTGACAATGTGGTCTCTAACATTACCATATTATCCCGTCATATCACACCTGTCATAATTATAACAGATATTATCATCATACCCGGGAATCACCAAAACCTGTCATTATCATAACTGACAACATCACATCTCACATAACAGTATCTACCATTACACCTGTCATGTCAGTGCCTAGTTGTCTGATGTTGCACAGTGTACACATATTCAAGCTATTCGACTGGCTGATTGTGACCCCTGACCTCCAGGGAAACAGTAAAGGGTTAGCTCCTATGGAACATATCCGTGTTCATGGTTTTTGCCAAAGTGGTAAATGATATATGCACGAAAGGGTTAGCTCATGGGTTTCGTTAAAGAGGTGTCTGATATAAGTACGAAAGAGTTAGCTCCCATGGAACATACCCGTTTTCATGGGTTCCGCCAAAGAGTAAATGATATGTATGTATGTATATTAGGTTTTAGGGCGACCTTGGGCCTTAAATGATATAAGTACGAAAGAGTTAGCTCCCTTGGAAAATACCCGTTTTCATGGGTTCCGTTAAAGAGGTAAATGCTATATATCTGGAATACTAGTCCAAGAAGCGTTAAACAACCAAACATCCTCGCTCAGTCAACATAATTATAACACCAATCTCATTTTCTCAAATGTCCCTGATATTTCACGAACAGATCTGTCGGTCTCAAGAAGGGAGTTCATTTTAAACACATTTACAAGGCCAATTTAGAACACCTTAGACTCATTTGATAGGTGTACTCGCAAGAAAGCGACTTTTTTTGTTGCAAGTAACAAAAATGGGCCACTTTTCGGGTGGGCATATGCATCAATGGATTCAGGTGTATATATTAATTAACAAACAAGCAAACGAACAAACAAACGACTTTTTAAACAATTATTCATATACATGTATTTTGAAATGCATTGAAAGCTGTACTTTATTATTTTCTAGGTATATATAATAAACTCATATGCGACATTATAAGTTGTTTACTGGTCTCGAGGGGGACATGGGCTGATGTACCCTCGATATTTGTTTACGTTCCCTGCAACTAAAGAAGGCGAAAAACATATTTGTTAAAGACATATTCTAATGTAATTATTACCAGCTGTTCACCTTATATTTCCATTTATGTTAATTTTCTTAATAGGGTTTAGTCATCACAAATGGGAATCGTTTTATTGAAAATACAAAAAAAATAATTTTTTTCAGCTACATTAAATCCCAAAGCAGATACTCAAAAATGACTTTAAAATATTTCTCAAACTGAACATTCGTGTTACCTTGCTGTCACACCCCTGGTGGAATTTCAAATGAATTCGCTGAAAAAAATATGAATGACCAAAAAACAGTTAGACTAAAATATCCCCAGAGCTATGAAATATGAGCCCAATGTTAAATATTAAGGTTGATTAGTTACATACTAATACGATATTATTGTTTTGAAACTCGTAGCGATTATAATTACATTTCCTAAATTGGTCGAAGCGCACGTACAATCTCCATAACAAGCCCGCAAGATCGTCAGAAATACCCTCAGTGGGACCCATGAGAGCAGTTATGTCAACAAACGCACGTGCGTGTATTTGAATCTCTCACCGTCAATCGCATGATTCTTATTAAAAACTTCATAATAGGCAGCAAAATCCTTTTAGCTACGTTCTTTGTACTTTCAATAAAACGATACATATTTTTCATGATTTTATAAACAATGACATTAATGCCATAAACGATTTAAGTACTCGGGATTATTTTTATCAAAGCACCGCACTCATTTACGCGCGTTCTGATTGGTTTGTCGTATTTTCGCACATAACAAGTAGTGAATGGGGGATGAGTCTTCTTGGAGGTTACGGAAAGGGGCGAGTGGTGACGAATGCATCATTACGTGATTCAATGTTATTCGAGATAAGGAATTACTACTACAAAGTACCAAATGAGTTCGGCATTCCCAGCGGGGTACATAGAAAATGTTACTCGCTTGTAAGCGGGGTACATTGAAAATAATAGAAGAGCGCTATGTCAATCAGAAAACGACGTTTATGTGTGAGGCAAGATCAAAAGATATGGCGATAGTTCGGACCTATACTTAAAGTCACTCACTGGTTCCAACGAGATGTCTTTCTATCAGTACAGCTGTTGTTTGATTGAGTGAGTGAGTGAGAGTGGTTACACGGCGCCTTTAGCAATGTTTCAGCAACATCAAGGGTCAGCGAAAATGGGTGTTACACATTGTACCAATGAGGAGAAAAAAGGCTTTAAGTCATATTCACTTATTCGCCCCCTTTAAGACTTTCCAAACAGTAGTTGTCAGAAACTACAGAGTTTTCGGATTTCAGTGAGTGAGTGAGCATGGTTTTAAACCAGACACGTTTTCGGATTTGTGTGACCTGTACGATGGAGATTTTACATTATACACGAAGGCACTAACGACTTGAAGCTACAAGTAACATATAATCTGGAAGCTTTCAATAAATAATAATTGCGTTTCTTTCCTCATAATATTCCTAAACAGTTTTAGCAAAACTCACAAAACCAAAGGTTTGAAATACATATTTGACCTTTACACACTGAAATATGAAATATATTGATGTTCAAATCGTTTGTTCATCAGTTATAGTGTGAATAAATGATTCTCTAACCTTTTGGCTTTCTTGATGAGGGTTGGGAATTTTGCTTGCAAACTGATGATTCCGGATTATATCAAACAAAATAAGTTTTACCAACCATTATCTTTTCAGGAGACGCCACCCATGATCATTCAACAAGTGCCCCAAATGGCCAGTGTTGTACAAATGAGCAGCACCAGACACGTCTCGCCCCAGTACGTGACACCCCAGGGCACCTACTTGCCACCTAACGGAGCTTATATGACACACATGACACCCCAAGGAGGCTACGAGACACCCTCGGACCCATCTGTGGCACAATACCATGACGAACCTACGCCCGAATACCATGACGAACCACCGCCCCAATACCACGACAAAGCGGAGCTCGTCAAAAACGTTGCGTGCTAGGCAGTGGGGAAGAATACCTTATTGTGTAGCCGACTGTTTTTATACTCGGCCAATATGACATTTATAACCACAAACTAGCTGCTTTACTTGTTACCACTCGTTTGCACATATTTTAAAGTTTAAAATTAAAATTATTTTCATAGATGTCCTTTTTCTGATAAACTGTATTCTGCAATGTTTAGGGGCGGGTGGGTAGTGTTTATCGTTTACAGTCATTAACATTTTGTGCTTTGTAGTGCCTTTAGTTCATATTATGTTAACACATTCTCACAATTTTCGTTCAGATATTATATTGGCTAATATAACTTATTTGAAGATACAGGCAAAGTGACAATGGAAGACAAATATAATGCCAAGCAGCAATGTAGGGCTCCATGGTCTTTTCTTGCTTTGAAACCAGAGAACTTAATTAGCCACTTAGATCTTCTTGAATTTGTCTTTTTCTTCTTCGCAAGTTTTGCAATCAAACGATTACACCTGCTTCTTAAAATAGTAAATGGTAATCTTGTATGTGAGGTGTCACTTCCAGTAATGGGAAATGATTCCTTCATTTACTTTACCAATGAATTATCATCGTCCTAGCTTAGATACAAACGGTGTACTGGTTTTGGATCATGACACTTGCGACTTTGGAAACAGTTCTGAACTTTATTAGAACTTTTAAGAAACGAATAATGGTTGCGGTTCCATTGCAACTTTGTCATTTGCACTAACTGAATGGATGACATCACCTCATGTTTTGACATACTGATGAATGAATAATATGATGACTTTCAACACGTTGTTCAGTCGTATTTCACGGCACACGGAAGATCATTCTCAGGTTAAAAAGGGAAAGTTCTCCAAAGCTCTATACCGGCATTTATTGCCGGTCCCAACGAATGACGGTTTAGAGGGCTTCCACTGTATGTATGGTGCTAGTCAAAATCTGGACGTACTGGAAGTTTAGATTAATTCATTACAAAGCATACTGTCTTTGATTTAAGACTATCACTTGGGAAAATGAACCTCAAAACAGGGCAATCCTTTGTTCAAACAGTCAGGAAAACAGAAAATATCGCGACCTTAGCTGAACAAAGGTGCAAGGTTCAATGTGATTCACATGATATGAATTCAAACGTAAGTCTATCTTAAGCAACACAACAAATGTTTCCAGTGATCTATTTTCAAGAATATTTGCCAAAATTACTTAGGACATTCTTTTAATTTAAACCAGACCCCCGTCCATTGAACTGCAGCAAAGGGGGGCATTTAAGCTATTTTAAGGATGCTTCCTTATGTTAAACATAGAACTTCAGTGCTGAGAATATTTCCAATCTTGACTATCCTGAGGAACAGATTCCAGTAAAGGAAAAATAGATCTGAAAATTATATGAAATGGATCACTGAAAATGAGTGGTGAACGTGTCCTGTACTACCGAGGCACTGGCCATTCACGAAATGTAGCTAAACCTGGAAATATGGTTTTGCCTGACGCCGCATGGCGGTATTCCTGCCATTTGACGTCGTCTTGAAAATCCAGTTGCATAATTGGAATTACGACTGTTCAGAGATTATGATACTTGTAAGTAAAGAAAAGTGTTTAAGAATTACAGAAGTATATCTATTTTTTGTAATCATAGTCTCACTATTGACACTTTTATACTCTATACCATATGTATTTCATTTAAAAAACTTGAGGTGAGACTTTAATAAATAATCCGTCTGTCTGTCTGTCTGTCTGTATGTCTGCCTGTCTGTGTGTCTGTTTAACAACACACTGTGGGTCAGTTTTATTGGCTCGGACCAAACATTTGTCTTGCAGTTGTTTCGGCATACTTAAAGGCACTATATCACACCACACTTCTCTAAAAATAAATAATGCATTTCCCTCAACAATACTAACTATCAGCCCACAGGGAAGCTAACATACAATTTGTTCAAAAAATAATTTAGATTACAAGATTAAATTAAAAAGTATGAATGAATTAATGCAACATTGCATTAAATCGAAGCACACGACTTCTACCGGTCGAACATTATTTCAAGCGAACTTCATAGAGTTATGTAGACATACGACAGAAATCTTATATCTGGTCAAAATTTTGGTTTAAAGTATATGCCAAAAGGTATATATTAATGTCTTATAAATGCCTAATGTTAGAACTACTACGTGTAGTAGGTAGGTAGTTCCGGGGAGGTAAGGGGTAGAAATATTGACGTGAGGCGCTCGTGTGCTGTATTTCTATAGTCCGTATTAAAATCCATTACACTGTTTCTCACTGTTTCAACTGATCGTGTAAGGTATTTATAATCCACAGCAAGTGAGGCATTTCTGTAGTCTTTATCCAAGTCCATTACACTGTCTCAAGGTTTCTGAAGCTGTGATGCTAGAGGTAGAAACTATACTGGGAATACAACACATGGAAACAGGTCACGTACACAGTTTACATACAAACTGCAGAAGACAGAATTGGGCACTGCCAGAAAGCAGTTGGAAGGGGATTGTTGGTAGATTTAGATGGCGCTTCTTTCAGCAAACTCAGTTTACCTTTAAGGTTTTCTTTAAATGATATGTATCTAACCACCAAACGGTGATACTTTTAACATGCCCAATGGAACAAAAAATGGTCAGCAAACTGTCGGGATACGTATTGCCAATTTTCATTGTGCTCTGTAGAGAACCGATGAAGACTAAGAACTGTAATGAGCAAAATAGAATATTACTTGTCTCTCCTTTGTGTTTGAAGTTATTTTACTGTAAATGGTACGTATAGTCGATACTGCTGGCTTACATTCACAGGCAAATCGAAATCGAACGGCAAGTTTCAGAGTTATAGGTGTTAGTGTCCATGGCCCCGTTCCACAAAATGATCGTAGAGCTAAGATGATCGTAACTCCCATACTTTAACATAGACTTACGACCTTTCGAAAGTAGGTTTTTGTTCAGGACCTCCCTGGTAAGTTTGCTTTTGAAAAATCGTCAAGAAGACTTGGGAAGTGTTTGAAGAGAACTTTGGCTCATACGTAGCACTCATATCGAAGGCACGTTTAGAAGCTGTGTGCAGAGTAGTTCCTGGACACAAAGTATGGAAATTGGGAAAGCTCTGGAGATGATAGTTCGGACATTTTGGGAGCAAAGAACTCAGAAAACTGTTGAAAAATAGGAATAAATATTTCAACCCCCCAAACAGCTGCCAAACGATGCCTTTTAGCCACATGCGTCCTCCTCTCGAAATTGAAGGAAATCTTAATCCGCCATTGCACCAGAAATTGGGAATCATTGGACATGATGTTTCGGAAATTATTGCTTTTAAAATATAAATGTTTGAATTACTTTTGAATTATCTGTTTTTGCTATTGAATAAAGAAGTTGTCATCCATAGATTATCATACCTTTCTTATGATTTCCGGCTTGCAATTGTCGTAATATTGCTGTTTACACGAATCAACGAGAATATGTCAACATTGACTGTCTTCATAAATATACATCGTTCATGTTCTGTTGGTGAGGTTAAAGTATTTGTAAACTGAATAAGAATTATTTGCAAACTAGTAGTTCAGATTGCTAGTGAACCCAGGTCGTGTATGGGACATAGTTTGCCATTGAGACTGAGCAATGTACACAATGTTTCAAGACACTGATATGTAATCCTTCCCGACTGACAGGTATCTTGATGGGAAGTGGTTTTACTGGTTTTAGCCCTGTTAAGAAGAGATCTGTACATGGTCTGACACCTGCCTATGGAATGAACCTTTATTCAACAACTCATTTTTCTCTAACAAGTGGGAGATAACAGAGGCGTAAAAGAACCTCCCAACTACCTGCCCTGCCCTGCCCTGCCCTGCCCTGCCGCTGTCTAAATGGCAAAATATTGGTACTATTGCCGGGAGAGCCAACATTCATACGATCACTCAACCATCCCTGTTGCCGGTTGAGCCACACAATTTTCAATTCTGTTTTTCGTTAATGTGGCTTCCCCGGGCTATAACCTAAGTTTCAGCTTGGGATTCAACACGAAACAATTTGGCGTTGCAAATTACACACACTGCTCATGTTAGTGTCCTGTCACTCGAGGTTATCATCGGTAAACAAATTGAAACAGGTCGCACTTGAAATAGCATTTACTTCTCAAACGCCCTTTTAAAAGTTTTGGAGTGGGGAGCTAGGAGCTGTCGAAAAAGATGCATTGACCCAGTGAATTATTGTCAAAATAATTATGCTTCAGAATCTGAAAATTATATCCTGCTTTTCTGTCATAAAATGTACGCTGTTGTAAATTGTGTTTTTGTACAAATATTGCGGCTCAGTTTTGATTTTGATTTTACAGGTGTATGAGGGAGTTTAGTCTTATGCCGCTTTTAGGAATATTCCAGCAATATCACGGCGGGGGACACTAGAAGTGAGCTTCACACATTTTGCCCACTTGGGAATTTGAACCCGGGTCTTCAGCGTGACGAGCTAACGCCTTAACCATTAGGCTACCCCACCGCCCCTACAGGTGTGTGAAAGACTACGTAGCTACTCGCCAAACAAAATTTGGAGGTACCCTTCTCTACTCTCCCCTTCACTTATGAAGGTGTGTCTCTATAGTAGTGAATATAGTAGTTTTAAAGGGAAGCGTTTTAGTGAGTTACTATTTAAAGTCACATCGGCAGGATGTCAGCTATATCGTGACTAAGAAAGTTGTAAAATAATTTTTAAAAATGAAGTTAACTATTATACTTACCTGTCTGCAAAGGGCAGTGAAACAACTAGATTATCACAGAAATAAATTTAAAACTAGTTATTAAATCTAAACTATTTAGCTATAAATGACAATACAATATAAAAACAGGCTATATATTGCCAACAACTGAAGGCCGATCACCATACTAGGGACCATGGGGACTTACAGTACCTTTGCTACCTGCATGGGCCCTAACTGGACAGTGAGTGAATATTGCAAGCTAACATACCTACTAACAGACATGCCGATTGAAATTGGTCGCGGGCTTGTTGAACATCCGACATTGCAGAAAAGACGTCATAGTGAGTGAGATACACGTCAGTGTGTCCCAGCCATCGGGTGTTGTCATTACATTCTTCTGACACGGGGGCGGTGGGGTAGCCTAGTGGTTAAAGCATTCGCTCGTCACGCTGAAGACCCAGGTTCGATTCCCCACATTGGCACAATGTGTGAAGCCCAATTCTCGTGTCCTCCGCCGTGGTATTGATTGAATATTGCTGAAACCAGCATAAAACTAAACTCACTCACTCTACTGACACTCGTTCAATTCGCTTTATTTAAATAATTAGGCCACGGGTCCCTATTACACAAACGTTGAGTTGTGAATTATCATGTAATGAATTGCATTAGGCCACGTTTATAGAAGTTTCTAACATATTTAATCTGTTGAAAATGGTATTATAATTTGCCCTTTTTCTCTGATTTTATTTTAATTACATCCATATTTTTTCTTAATTCCATCAAAATTTGCCTAAATTTTCTTTCAGCTCTTGTATGATCATGAGATTTTACTATGGAATATTTTAAACAAATCAATAAATAACAAATCAGTGATTTGTGAAGAATAGTTTTCACTTCAAGATATGTTTGTGAAAATATATTGGAATGGTTAATGTGATGTAGTCATTGTGTGGAACGTCTCAGTTACCGAACCTATAGTATTAGTAGCCATAAACATTGAAAGACACAATAGTTACACATATTTCACAAAACATCTAAAAAATCTACACCCAGATGATAGTACCACATAACTACATGTAAATTAAACTTTACACATGCTGAACCACCAGTATGAAACCTAGTCACTACTATACAAAAGCACTGTTTGCCAATGCTTGTATATGATAAATATGACATCATTCACAATATTACCCACATATACACTATTTTCTGCTCACCTACGTTATAACCATTTTCCAGTGTAAGCCTGGTAGGTGTAGCTATTTATTATGACATGTTATATCTACTTGTGATGTTATAAAGTAGAACCAATGATCCTTTATTTTTGTGATATTTACCTAGTGCTGACTAATTTGCTCCTGTGTATGTTATAATATACAAGATCTACTATGGTGTGCTGGCTTTATAGCGAGAGTGGTTTGTATTTGTCACATATGCACAAGTTCGTGAAAACAGGCGCTATAAATAGCAATTATTATTATTATTATGATGATTTAAATTATGGTTTCATTGAGTGTCCGTCCTGACAATATTTTAATATTTGAAGTGTTTTTTTACAGCAAATGTGGTATTCAAGACTATTAAAGGTGACACTATCCATCCATAGCAGTAAGAAATTTTGAATTAGCATCAGATTTTGGACATATCATATACTATACAGTTCAAGGTTTATGACAACGTCCTGAATAGTAGAAAAAAAATTAGAATCAGTATGTAGTTAAGGTCTGTAAAATCTGTATGGTACTATATATTGTATGGTAAAGTCAGTATTGTCATAGGAATTCTACCTTTTCTCATGTTTATTGTTACACCCCTAGCTGGAACCAACAGAAGTGAAATCAACACGCTATAAGTATTGTCTCAACAATTTCTTAAGCATGCTATTGGTGTCCGTAAATTATATGTAATTGTAAAATGTCAATAAATCCCCCAAATGACAAATATTACGGTCTTGCCGCTCGGCTTAGAGTTTAAAAGGCCAAAGCACACCAGTTAGAGAGATAATGTGAAACAAAGTGAGCCTTTTTTGTGGGTAGGATTCAGATGCTGAACCATAATGAACTGAACATGCTGTACACTGTATATTGTGAGGTTTAGAATTGGCTGTGGTTGGTGATCCTGCCTGTGAATTAATTCAGTGTTTAAATAGAGAAAAGTGTCAGTAGGTATTTCAGTTCCTAGTGAAACAGTTTTAAAATCAGGTTTTTGGGTTTGGATATTTATGGTTATAAGCATATATATTTATCATCAGTATAAGTGTATGACTGTTGAAGTTCTAAGGACTTTTAAGATAAATGTCCCAGCAGCGTAGTCAATTGCAATACTTTCATCATGCATATCAATCACAACCTATATGTATCAGCATTTTGCAGGATCTGGTTTTGCATATAAAACAATATATGGGTGATAATTTAGTTATTTTAAAAAAATTGAATGCTTCAGCTATGATTTTACTTTGTCAGACATAATAAGGCCTTGGTCATAACTTCTATGGTACAGTTATCTCCCTTTGTTACAAAATGATACAGTTATTGATATTTACTAGGTATTGACTTTGTTGTGATCCTGTTGATTTTAATTTGTTATGAACCTCCTGCAATGCAATAAGCAAGGAGATGCTGTCTCTCTGCTAAGTGATAAACTATAAGTAATTGTTCAGTGGTATTAGGCGACCCTGATGGACCTGATCAGGACCTGATGGATGGACCTGACGGACCTGTTAAGTGCTGTTCACAAAAATTATTCCCCAGTCATTATGAATCACAAATATAGGATCCAGGTCAGATTATTTCAACTGTGGAGACAAAATATTGGATTAGTATCATTTTACAAATTTCCACGAAAAGAGAATTTATTAAAGAATACAAATTCTGACTAGTCCAAGCTTCATGAGCAGTTACGTATCATGTGTATACTTCATGATGTGATGATATTTAAAGAAAATTGGTTTCCTTTACTGCTGGTTGGTAATTTTAAAGTAATGAAAAGACTAAAATTAGCATATTTCTAATTTCTGTTGGCTTTATGTTTTACCCAGCGTTGTCAAATTGTTCTCATCAACAGTTGGGAATGATGAACTGAAACACCTCAGCAGCATTCTACATTTCTCTGTGTGCCTTGCTTGAGAAAAAAATGCCATACAAGGCCATAATTATGTTATTTTTACGATGAATCATGATAAAATCATTTTCTTATATTTTTATATTTTTTGTTGAACTAGCATCTGCCTTGTGATTTTGGAAATGAGATAAGTTGCCATGGTAAAAGAAGAAAATTCTTTGCAATAAGTATAGAAATAAAACAAGTCTTAG